CAGAGCTGTTAAATTTAAAATAAGTCAGAAGCAATATGGAGCAAAATTAATTTTAGGGGTCTACCTAATATTAAATAAGGAAGTGGCCAGTCTAATTTAAATGGGAGGAGATTTTCCACAACCCAAGGACTGTGTTCCCACCAGCCTAGAATTTCCCTTTTAGTGTAATTTAATAGCTTTAATTTATAGCCATGGTAAACCTTTCCAAAGAGGGCTACAAGTTAAAAATACAAAACTCTCAACAAATCATAAAAACAATACTATTTCTTATTTTTTAAAAGTGAAATAACACCAGCACAGTAAAACATTATATAAAACCATGCCCTACAAAAATTAATCCCATGCATACTAAAACAATTAACTTAAAAAAATTCTTCTAAAAATAGAAGCCACATGCACTTTGGGAGGGACAGGGAGAAATATGCACAGAAGGATATTCAAATTGTATTTCTAATTATGGGTTGGTATATGTAACAGGAAGCACTGTTGCTGAGATCCAGGCCCGAAACCATTCAGGGATATACAGAAGAAAAACACTGAATTATGCCTGGAAACAAATTGGTAGCCAGTGCATTTGATATGCAAAGTTGGTGTAATATGTTCCACAAAGCACATGGCAGAAATATAGGTGGCTCTAGCATTGAGTAAATCAGTGTTTCTCAACCTTGGCAACTTTAATAAGTGTTCGTTGGGGAATTCTGGGAGTTGAAGTCCACACATCTTAAAGTTGCTAAGGTTGAGAAACACTGGGGTAAACTAAACTAACTAAAGCGATCACCTCATGGGGAAGATTAGGGGCAGCAGCTGTTTTATGCTACAGGAGAGAACTTGTCTGATCTGCAACTAGTGTAGAATCTCCCACTGTCATCGATGAAGAAACAGCTTCCAATCCAGTCGGGTTTTCTCCTGGAATGAAAAGGGGGACAATGTTCTTGGTAGTCCTGGTCAGCAAAGAATCTTAAGCCAGTCCTGGGCCTTCTTCCCATGACTGAGCTGAAATGCTCTCCACCTATCCCCGTGCTGCCAAAAAAACTATAGCGGTATTAAATGTTTTGCCACCATGACCCGTCCCTATCCTACTTCTGTTGCCTGAGTGGCATCAGCAAGATAGGGCTAAAACAGGCAAGATGGTGGTCACGTCAGTGCAACCCAAGCTCTACCCCATTTTAGGTGGGTTGCCATTGCATGCACACACAAAAGGATGCTGCTTTGATTACATTGCCATAGTTGGCATCTTGCCTGTTACAACACACACAGGGCCCCTTCTCCCCCTCCTATAAGTGCTGCTGGATTCAAAGCACTGCAGCGAACTGATTTCCCTCCAAGATACTGTGTTACAAACAGATTTCAGACACCTTTAAGGCTTCTCTTGCAATGGGTGGGTGGGTGGAATTAATACCAGGACAGCTATGGATTTTTAACACAGTCTCTTTCACAGCTAAGGATGAGGACCACATGGCAGAAAAAAAGATGCTGACAAAGAATATTTCCCCCATGATTAAGTGCAAGTGGGGAAAGGCCTTGATACAGGAAAACTAAATAGAAGTTAAGATGTTTGGTTCAGAATAATGCATCTGTTGTAACCAAAGTTACATGCATTCATATCAGAAGCAGTCTAACAAATACTCCCTACACTCTTTTAATAAAATCTGTAGTTGGAAAAGGTGCAACCAGACTCCTCCTGATTTTCTGCTACATAGACTAACATGGCTCTCCTCTTAAAGTGCATTCAGATATAAAACTTCTCATTTTCTTAAATCTGTTAATGAAAAGCAGGAAATATCAAATACTAAATGCTGGCTATATGCAATGGAAGAAGTCTCTGCTTGGATGTTTTTGAAAGGGTTCTCTGGAAAACAGCAAAACTGAAGAATATTGTGGTACTTTAATAGAGCTATAAAATTTTGGATGATCAAAAAGCTAGGATTTTTCTTTTTTTACCTCTTCACTGCCATCTCGTGTTCAGATTTTTGCAACCCAGATTTAGTAGTCCTATCTATAAAGACTAATCATTTTTGTTACAGCATTTATGGATTAAGAGCTTCTTGGTTGCAGCAAGAATTTTTACATTAACAAATGTGGCTAAAAAGGAAGAATAGTTGCTTCATCTCAAAATCCTTCTATGTTCTGCTTTTGATCATGATTTTGTGGGATCATATCTTCTCATTTGTGAAATCTATAGTAATAATAATTCTTCGCTTTGTTTAAATGAAGACAGAATTAAACAATTTCAGGAAGTTTTGTTTTGAAACTGAAATTCAACTGATTCATTTATTTATTGTAATGCTTTCAGGATCTAGGTCTGCCATCATTTAAAGATGCAATTCTGTGGAAAATTACTTGAACACACTGGACATGTTTCTCAGTATCCATTCACAATGCATGCTTTCCTGGAAGTAAGTTCTGTTGAACTTACAACATTCAGCACAATTCTACACTCAGAGAAAGTCCCATTGAGTTCAATAAGAGTAACCTGAAATTCAGTGGATATCTAATACCAGTATTAACTACTGAATATTGCACAGAGTATAAGACTTGAGAATACTGTGTCAATTCACTCACCAGGATCTCTTCTAGAACATGAGCTCTGGAAATACGTTTATCAAATATTCAGTGTGGTTTTAAAAAGTCCCACAGACATTACTCATGTTAGAGTACTAGAAGTCTGGAAATATAAATACAACAGATTTCCAAAACACTCCAAACAATCAGAGTATGGGAATATAAATAAAACATTTCTCATCAAGATTATGCTTTTTGGATTTCAGTAATGATTGTTAAAGTGACCAATGTTTCAAACAAATGTTTTAAAATGGAAAGCCTATCTGAATTTTTAAAAGTCTTTCAGGTAGTCCTTCCTTATCGACTGCCTTGTTTAGTAACCAAAGTTACGACAATGTAAAAAAAATAAATAACAGCTTTGTGACCAATCCTCGCATTTACAACCATCACAGCATTCTGTGGTCATGTGATCACCATTCAGGCACTTTGCAATCAGTGCACATTTATGGCCATCAAAGTGTGCCACAGTCACATGGTCCCCAGATCAGCATGCTTCCCAACCGACTTATGACAAGCAGAGTTAATGGAGAATGCGAAAGCAAAATTGCAACTCACGGTCATGTGATGTTTCACTTAACGACCATGGTGACTCGCTTAATGACTGAATGGGAAGTGATGTTCTAAGTCCATTGCAGTCATGTGATTTTCTGCTTAGCGACCGTGGTGTTTAGCAACAGAGTTGCCGGTCCCAATTGTGGTCACTGAGTGAGGACTACCTGTACTTACAAAACATAAACATGTCAGGTATCACTGTTTGCTGGAAAGATATACAATATAATTGACCAAGAGGAAGGGTGGAAAAGTATGTGGGAGGCAAATACAAAACTTCTGTTCTTTACACAGACTCTGTGAGCTGATTATCCTCTGTGAGTCTGGAAAGAGCAGCATCTGTGGAAGAAGAAATAGACTCCCAGAGAAGCAGTATCATCATTTCTGAATGTGGTGAACTTACATAGATGCAATAATGAGGGGGGGAAAAGTGGGACATGCAAAAGGATCCATGGACACTTTTAACTATGTTGTAATATAGGGCTACCATATCTAGCCAGCAAAAATGTAGGTGGCACAAGATGACTGCAAATTGAAAAATAAATGTCTAACTTAAGGGTTAGCAAACGCTGGCCCCAGGCCCAATGTGGCCTGCTATTTGTTTTGCAACCTAAGAATGGGTGGGTAGGCAGCAGATTGCTCCTGGGCTGAGGGGCAATGCTAAGGACTGGAGACATGGTCTCTTAGGCAGCGGCTGCCTATCTGTGACCCCCATGCTGCCGGCCAGGGCTGTCCAATGGCTGCCTCACTCCTTGGCCTGCAGACTTGCCAGTTGCGCCCACAGAGGCGGAGGAGGGGCCGGGTCTGGCCCTTTACAAACAAGGTTTGCCGACTCTGGTCTAACTCCTTGCTAGTTTATAATGGCTGCTTGGAGGACATACAGGTTATCTCTGTTGTAATGTAACTCTGTACAGTAGTCGTTTCATTATATTTATAATATGATGCAGGAAAGCTGTAAAAAACAAAAGTGGGCACCCCTCTTTCTATGGCTACCCTGAACTTTGACTGCATGTGCCATTGTCATTCCACCTACTACATAACTACATCTTTCAACCCACCACAAATGATGATGATAATGCAACCTCCAATAGGCTGCCCATCCATGTATTCTTAATTGGCAATAAGTGCCATTCAACTCAGAAGCCATAGTCCAAATATAGCTGTGCACTCCAAACGATATATTCTTATGTGGAAGAGGAATCATGTAAGCAATGGCCATGTGATTATTTCCCAACCCTTGTGCTGGAGCAGCACTTCTGTAACTCTGCAACATCTGGCTGACCTTACTGCCATGGCAGCTGCTTCTACTCCTACACGCTTGGAGCAAAGGCCCTGGGGTGATGTCACCTCTCTCTTTCACACCAAACAACTAATGAACACTGCCACCAAACAGCAGAGGAACTGGATCAGAAACAGACATGATTCTTGGCAGTTGATTGCTCATTTGCTATAACTAGCATGTTCCTTTAACCAAAGTTTATTTTCCCAACCTAAGGATCCAGAAATAGAATCTCTTTCTCTCATGGGATTCAGTGGCTCAAACTGCATGAGCTGAAAGACAGACTAGCAAAGGCAGGCCACCTGCAAAGTCCTTTTAAAGAGGCAGATATTCAGATGTTTAAAGATGCTTAAGGAGACAGATGCAAGTAAGATCTGGTAGGTCTGCTGAAAGAAAGAATGCAGGCCACCTAACTTTTCCTGTGGTGTCTTTCTTCAAGGGCATCATCAAGTGTTCCCAACCTGTCTTTGATATAGCCTTCTCCTAGTTTCAATGACATCTGTGCAATCTTTGTTATCCCCTGATAATGCCTTTTCCCATAATAAGCCTCAAGCCACTTTACTTTCTGTACTTTCATCTCGGCTAATAATACTTTATTATCTTTCATCAGAAGGGAAATGCCACATGATGCAGGAACATGCAGTTTGACTTTTAAAGAAATCTGCCGTTCTTCCCAGCAAAGACGTCCTTTTGGAAGGAGATGAAGACAAACAGGAAGATTTGAGCTGAACAAGTGCAAGATGACATTAACCTGCTATGGATACAAATATGAGTTAGATTTATTTCTCTTCCTCAGTCATCTGGGCATGTTTTTTCTAGGAATGTGAGCAACTCTTGGCCTGGGCATTTGAAAAGAATATAATTTCCTGCTTTAATTTTCTCTCACACATTCAAGCATTTTAGTTTTGCAGAACATTGTAGTTGTGATGATTTGTATTGAACTTGTGTTGATTTAACAACCTGCACAGGGCCAAAGGTTGTGAGTGGCAATCCTGCTGTCCTATGGCTATACTTAATTATTTGAATCATAGAGTTGGAAGAAGGAACTTAAGAGGTCATCAAGAACCTTCTACAATGTGGCAGCCCTTCAGGTACTTGAAGACCGCTATCATGTCCCCTCTCAACCTTCTCTTCTACAGGTTAAACATCCCTAGTTGTTTAATTGTTCCTTGTTTCCTGTGACTTGGTCACAAACACTTTTGTGTGTGTACACCGTGATGAAGTGTGTCAGTATTGTTGTCTATGGAAGAAGGTTCCCCCCCCCCCGAAATAAAATGTAAAGACTTTGTCCCTTCATTGAACTTCATGCCAGAGGCATTAGGAGCTCCATTGTCCAGGACTGACAGGAATGAATTAAGAGCCAACTGGAAACGTTTATGTCTGTGTATCAGGGGTATCTGCAGAATGTGATCAAAAAACAGGCAAAACTTTGATTGCACCATCATGGCTGCCATCTTGACTTTTTTGACCATACCCTACAGACAGCCTTGGCTTATACAATGTATTAAATTATAATTTGATTTTAGCCATGATTCATTTAATATTTACTAAATCATTATGGTATCTTTAAAATAGTTAAACTATGAATGAATGTGATGTGTGAACCCACTTAATGGCTTTGTTCGGTTATCAGGCTAAGCCAAAATCGAACAAACCACATTATGGCTTAATGCAATGTATGAGCTCAATCACTGAGACTTACTTTTGATAGACATGAATAGAATTGTGCTGTACTTGTTTCATAAATGGTATTTAAACTTAGGTTTATACTGGGAAGTTGCTGCTAAATTCAACTATTTTCCAATGAACCCCCTCAGAATAGCTTACCATGATCTACAAAGCCAGTTCAATATAGCTCACTCCCAGTTGTGGATATAGGATTGCATCCTTGAACTTAACTGTAGTTTACTCAGTCCTCCTAAAATATTTTCCTTATCAACATGATGCTTTATAAAAAAGTGAATCAGTTAGGCAGAAAGTAAAAGTAGGATGTTAATTCACTGAATCAATTTTCATCACATTCTAATTATAATCCTATAATTCATGTTTCAATTTGCAGAAGATATTAAAGGCATTCCTTGGAGAAGCCACAGGCATAGGAAACAGTTGACCTTAAATGAACCCTCCTTATCCTCTTGAAGAATCAAGCATTTTAGAGGGCGTACTTTAAAATAAATAAATAAAAGCATTTCATTCGTCTAACTGATTTTTCATTATCTTCTGTACTATCAGAAAGTGTAAACGCAACACCTTATTTTAGTTGAGAGATTGCATACTAAAGCCTAAAAGCCTTTCTATCGTATTAAGTGTACATGGGTGTAATTTGATTCTACAGCAACATGAAAAGGCTCCTCTATGCTAAAATGCCAGTCTGGTGTAGTGGTTAAGGCTAGAAACCAGGAGACAGTGAGTTCTAGTCCCACCTTAGACACAAAGCCAACTGGGTGACCTTGGGCCAGTCACT